TTTATGTTCATGACAGGTGTTATGTAATGTTTATGACACTGTCATGTCAGTCTTATGCACACCCCTTCAAATAAAGTGTCACCAATCGTTTTGTTTACTAAAAACATCTAGGTTACCGTGGATTAGCCGCGGTCCAGAAAAGGACATAAACACCACAACAACAGGCGCAGTGACAGCTTTCATGCAAGAGCTGTGAAAAATAACCGTCTACCTCCCGCCCCTCTCTGCTCCCCAGAAGACAGAAACACACACGGACATGGACAAACCCATCAACTGCGTCCTAAAGGCTGCTACAGACGCTAGAGCGACTCTAACAGGACTCTAACAAACGGGCCACATATTTACGCTGCCGTCGGTCCTTTTCCCTGCTTTATAGCCGCAAAGTCTCTTGTGTCGTCTTAAGTATTTACACAGGAAATGGATGTCAGAAGTATCAAGACGAAGTAGAAGTCCCCTTTATTAGTTGAAGCTGTTTTCGTTACTATATATCACCTAATATTCACGAACAATCATATAGTTAAAAAGCTTGATTCTTACCTTTACTGTGCTGCTGGTTTTGCTGTACTGCTGCTGGGAGTGACACGCAGGTTGCACGAATTACTTTCACTTTCACTTTCAGATAAAGCCCCACCCCCTGCCAGCATGCCTAAGTGGGCCCCATATGGGGAAAGGAAGGCCAGACCAGATGGGTCCCATATGGGTTTGTCCGCGGGTTCCACGGTGGGCCCACATGGGTTTGGCCATTTAGGGCCCATGTAGGACCCATGTAGGCTGTGGCCCTACATGTTTATTCTTATAAGAGGAAACAGTCTTATAAGACTGTCTCATATTAATGAGTCCTTATTATAACAATGCATGTTATTTTTAATCAGTACCAGAAATGGGCTTCTAGTCTCATGATTTATAAGAACCGCGATCAAAAAACTCTTAGGGTTTACTGCTAAACAGGCTAAAAAGTAAATTTGTTAGTTAATTTATTTATTTCATGAAACACGAAAGAAGTACAAAATCACACACATGAACAAGGAATGCAAAAAACACATATTTTTGTACCACAATAATCTTAACATACAAAGTATTAGATGATGTGGTATTAACAACAAATACATGGGTTCTTAATTTTTACTTGTGATTAGTTATTAAAGCTGAGTGTTTATTATTATTATTAATTTTAATTGTGCTTTGTTAATGTTATTGTGTCTTTGATGATGTTGTAATGTTTTTCAGTTTGTCGTTGGTTTAGTGATTTGTTGATGTGGTTTGAACTTCAGGGCCACCGTATTATCCTATTTAGTTGCACATCTTTGAATCTAAAATATTTAAGAACTGCACAGTATTCTTTTCTTATGTCGTAAATCTGACCTTATTATCATTGTTAATTTTGTTATGTTTGACTTTCCTGTCATTTCGCTACCTTTACACCAAAATTTCTCAATTGAAACATAATAAAAGTTATTTCTATTGTATTCCAATTTTCCACTTAAATTTTAAGGGCAAAAATTGATAGACATTTAGAACTACTTCTGATTTTATCCACTTTGACAACAGATTTAGTTCCATCTGAAGAAAACAAACCCTAGAGCAGTGGTTCTTAACCTGGGCTCGATCGAACTCCAGGGGTTCAATGAGTCGGTCTCAGGGGTTCGGCGGAGCCTCTGCCGCGGAGGTAAAGACACCGTGTAAACTCGTGATGACGCCCCGCTTTGTTATCACTTGCTGCAGAGGATCACGTTACATTGCTTGTCATGCGGAGGAGCACTGATTGAAGGAGTTCCACTCTCAGCATGGATTTGATCTTGTGTCTTTAATTACTTCAGCAAAACTCAGTTTTTACCCCAGTTTTTACCTGGGGGGTTTGGTACCTCAAAAAAGGTTAAGAACCACTGCCCTAGAGTATGATGCTGCTACATCCATGTTTACCTGTAGATATGGTGTTGTCTTGGTGATGGGTTAACTTTTCAGACTGTAACTAAAAGTATAAATTTGGTTCCTCAACACAATTTCTCACAAGTTTAGGGTGAATTTAATCAAGCATTGATGTTTCCTCTTATTCATCATTCCTTCATTTTCATTAGATCTCTTTGCACCGACTCAGTACTGCAGCAAACAAAAGAGCTAAAACATAAACATGTTATGTGTGTGACATTATCACACCAAGGTTAATAATATTCTATTATTCCTTCAAACTTTATTCATTATTTGTCAGAGAAAACAGTTCCCAAACATCATGCTACATTGGTTATAGGCAGAGGTTATAAAGTTACAAAGGTCAAGATTAAAGTTACAACATGCATTAAGAAGAGTCACAAGAATTCATTCATTCAAAGCATCTATTTGATCTTCATTCAAAAGCAACTAAATAGACAGTTTATTATACCAGCTTCACTATCATAAGCACTTTATTTTAGTATA